GGTGATGAAGATGGACGACAAGGCGAACCATCAGTTCTGGCACAATTTTTTCTTTGTCAGAGTCGAAGATGTGGTGACCAACACAGACGACTTCCCTAAAACATGGAATTACACTCGTAAGTGTCTAACTTCTCTTAGTTAAGGCACTTGATTTAATTGCTTAGTAGTGGGTTCTAATCTCTTTCTCCTTTCTTATGCAACAAAAACTATGCCTCCTCCTTTGGTCGATGACATTTCTGATTGGGTCGGGCGGCTCCTCCCATACATTATGGGAATTCGTGAATGGCTGAGCATTTTTAAGAAGTTTGGGCCTGATCCCTCCCTAACTGGTGAGTTTCTTCATTTTGGCCTCTTAGTCGCTTATCTCTTATAGTTTGCTATGCTGATCTTCTTTTCTTTTGCGCTTCTTTCATTTCCAGCCCGAGGGCCTTCGAGGAGGTCGAAAGCTCCCCCACCTGCATTCTATAAGAGGAAAGTTGCTTCCTCTTCGACCTCTGCCCCCTCTAAGACTGCGGCTAGGTTTGCTCGCTCTTCGATTCTACCTACAGCTCCTTCGGTCTCAATTTCGTCATCTACGAATATTCCGACAGCGGAGCCTCTAGCTTCCCCTTTGTACCATCTTGTGGACGAGGAGTTGAATCATTGCCAAATGAAGGGTACTTGGTGTCCCGTTAGAAGAGGTCAGTGGATGTTGGCGATGGGGTTGTTCGGGCCGTAGATTCTATAATGGATGATTTCACCCTCCATGAAACAACGACCATATTTCTTAAAGACAACGTCGAGCTAGATTCTGAGGTTCCGAGATCAGTCAAAGTTTTTGAGGGTTTATCCCTTCCTTCTACGACAATGGAAGTCAAAGGACTAACCGCTAGGGTTTCTGATACTTTGTGGCAAGAGGGGCTGTTGACTTTGCAACCAGTCGACGATATTTCTTTGCCGTCTGATGGGAGAAATAAAGGTGTTTCCAAATATGATTATGTGATGGGTTCAGACATCGATGCCGTTGAACTAAGGATGATGAAGGAGGGGTTTACCTAACTCTAGGTGAGGTTGGATGGGTCAGCGAGGACTATTACAATCCCAATGAATCATGATATTTTGAAGAATACGGAGAATGTATTCCCCCATATCGGCCCTCTTTGCTCTGACATAGAAGGTGAAACCCTCAAAGAGCTTGGCACGTTGCTCTATCGAGGAGCATAGCCGGCCTTACCCTCAGGGTGAGTATTTTGGGGATTCATTTTCCGACTAGCATTTTGTTGTGTTTTATCTTTGTTAGTTGGCGTCCTTATTTTTTGTTTCTTTTTCTTATGTTTTTAGACCATGATTTTGGATATTGAAAGCTCTCGAAGGGAGGAGGGGCATAATAAAATTTTTGAGAAGTTGGAGCGCAAGTATCTTGAGTATCACGATAAGCATCGGGGAGATTCTCCGGCGTTTTGGCGAGGGCAGCAACTTGCAGGCCCTTCATGATTAGTTGAAGAAGAAGGACGACGAGCTGGTGAGGGTCATCGTGAAATGCAATATCCTTGAAGGGACATTGAGAGGCAACGAAGAAGAGCTCAAAGTCAGCAAAGGGGTTGAAGCCAAGTGCATCAATCTCCAAATCCAGGTGGTCTCACTGTTTGCCCAGCCTGAGGAGTGTCAATTTAGAACAGATGCTCTCTGTGTCAAGGTCACCGAGAAGGCAAAGGATCTCGAGAAGGCGGAGTTTGTTCGATCAGAGGCTCTAAGGAAGGTAGAGGCTTTGGAGGTCGTGATCCATATTCTTTGTTCTGAGCAAGAAAATGACTTGGAGACGGCTAGGCTTAAAGAAGAGAGGCTTGTTGAGAGGATTGGAGAGCTGGAGAAAGAGGTTTCTGGCCTTTACGACCAAGTTACCGGTTTTGAATCCGAGAAGGCCTGATTGCTGGCTCAGCCATCTTCTTCCCGTACTTAAGATTTTCCTAATATTCCTTACAACCAAGTTATCGTTTTTGAGTCCGAGAAGGCCTGATTGCTGGCTCAGCCATCTTCTTCCCATACTTCAAATTTTCCTAATATTCCTCGAGAGTTGTACGAGGAGTGGATTCACGCCGAGGACTAGTTGGATGTATTTTGAGAATTAATGATGGTGAGAACCATTTCAGAGGACGTCTTCGAAACTACTCGTGTTAAGGCTCGTGAAGCTCGAGCCGCTTGCGAATATGACCCCGCTACACCGGAGGGCGGCGATGATGAAGAGGACAAAGGTGTGGATCGGCTTGAGTAGGAAGCTTGGTATGACGTTGTGTATCCTGATGGTGAAGACAACGATGATGAAGGTGTTGAAGGTCGAGGGGGCGACGCTTTCGAGGCCTAAGGTGGCCAGTAGTTTTCTTTTTTCGACCTTTTTGTATATTTTTGTGTGTAGTTGTTGGCGTTTTCATGAGCCTTTGTAAAAACAATATTCTAAGTATGAAATGCCAACTTCGTTATTTGCCTTTGATACTCTTCCTATGGTTCGTGTTTGTATGTTTTTTAATTCTGCCGCTTGGTTGCCTTGATTTTCTAGCCGTGATCACTTAATGGTGAGTGGCGACCAGAATTTGGTGGGCCGGTAGGTGTCGGTTCACTTACTGGGTGTTAGTTCGACCAAGGTCAAACATAACCTAAGTTTAATTATGGCTGAGGTCCAGTAGGTGTTGGTTCGAACTTGGTCGAACATAACCAAACCTTAATTATGGCCGAGGGATAGTAGGTGTTGGTTTGAACAAGGTCAAACATAATCTAAGTTTAATTACGGTCGAGGGCCAATAGGTGTTAATTTGGACAAGGTCGAACATTACTTATGTTTAATTATGGCTGAGGGACAATTAGGTGTTAGTTCGAACGAGGTCGAATAGAACCTATGTTTAATTATGGCCGAGGGCCAATAGGTGTTAATTCGAACGAGGTCGAACATAGCCTATGTTTAATTATGTCTGAGGTCCAGTTAGGTGTTAGTTCGAATGATGTCGAACATAAATATCACACCTCATTTTTCTACACCTGGAAGGGGTATAAGGGAGTTTTTTCCAATTAAAGTGACAATCGAAACGAGATTAATTATTAGATTTAGAGTCGCCACTTTGGATGATTTATGGTGTCCCAAGTCACCGATTAAATCCCGAATCGAGGAAAGATTTACTCTGTTTTACAGTCTGCGAAATACAGAAATTCGGATAAGGAATTCTGTTAACCCAGGAGAAGGTGTTAGGTATTCTCGGGTTCTGTGGTTTTAGCACGGTCGCTCAATTATTATTATTTGTCCTAATTATCTGATTTATTAGACAATTTAAACCTATCTGCATTTTTAACTTTCAAACCGCTTTTTAGGATTTATGAAATTATTTCTTGAACAAGTTACAATTGTCGTACACTTGTTTGTTTGGTACACATTGCGAATAGTATCACGGGAACCGTACCCATGATCTAAAACATGTTTAATTTATTAATAGGATTAAATTGTGGCCGGGTCGCATAAATGTACCCCCGGATTTTAGAAATTAATTGTCACAACCACGTCATGGGAACCGTACCCGTAGCTACGATAATTTATTTAATTAACGCGCCTAAAGCAAACTACGAGATTTCAAGGCATTTTCTACACTAATTAAGATATCGATATGAGGGCCATAGACTAGGTGATTATATGGAACACCTCAATTTTATTAAAGGAAATGCATTCAACTAAGTGAACTACAAATATTCATATTTAGAGCTAATTTGAAATTAAGTATCACAACTATGTTAGGGGAACCATACCCGTAGTTGTGATGATTTAATTATATGCCTAAAGCAAATTACGAATGTTCATATATTGTTCATATCCTATATTCGAGATTATTTCAAGGCCATGAATTATGGAGCACTCAGAAACTTTGAATAAGGTGACGGATTGTGTAATCAGCCCACAAAACTTGCACCATTTTTAAGAAAAACAAGAATCAAAGAGGGAGCCAAAAGCACACAGTATACAAGATTGATGAACTTTTCAAATTCGGATGAATTAATAAATTTTCACTAGCTCAATCCAATTTATCAACATTTAATAGAACCCAATATCATCTTGAAAATTTCCCTGAGAAAAGCATTTAAAGAGGACAAGAAAACCAGCATGATTTACGTCAAGCTAGGATAAACCTAAGTATGGATTAAGAACATTGTTTGAGAATTGAATATTTCATGCCATAAGCCATATCAGTGATAATTAATCCTCAAATAAACTCACAAACTCATTTAAAAATCCCAAGAGACTTGCTATGCATTCAGTTCCACCAAAATCTGCTGCAACCTAACAAAATTGCTCATAACACATCATCAAAATCTCACCAATCCCATATTGAGTTATTACAATTAAGGTAGGAAACCGAGGAAATCCAAAAGAGAAGCTCGAAAGTCATTCTGACATATTTAATCTCAAACATTGCAAAATGAACGACGGTAACCAAATTCATCCATATAACAAACTGCCTTAGTTTCTTAGATTTAGGTTAATAATAGAAGATTAATTAAATGTCAACCTCAAATCATTAATAATAAAAAAGATACTACTTACCACACCAATCAAATATTCAAACTAATGCATATTAAACAACTCAAATAACCAACAAATCAGAATATAACCCAAACCGTCATCATGTTGAACTGCTATGAACTGACATTTAGACCCAAACAAACTAGATGCAAAAATTTATCCCTCTCTAGATGGATCTTCCAAGGCTACCATTAATGTTAAGAAAATTAAGATAGAATAGTAGGAAACAGACCTGTTGAGAAAAATCTTTTAATAATAAGAGAAGCAATCATCAAATACAAGCTTGGCTCCAAATCCAAACGAGAAAACCAAAGCAGAATGGGACAGAATCATCGAAAACGAATCAAAATCGCGAACGACAACCAAAAATACTCCCATAGAATTCAATCAAACTCCACATCGAGTTCAAATTAGCTCTGAGAGAAGAATTCAGAAATCAGGAACTGAAGTGCATTTTTCAGATTTGAGCAAAAAGAAAAACTCTGTGATTTTTTTTGTTTCTGTTTTTATATGAACGAAATCAGAAGAAAAAAAGTTGTAAAATCAAAAACTAAAGCCCTCATTCTCTTTCTCTACAAAAAAAGAACTTCTGACCTAAAAATCTCCTCCTAAATTTGTTCTCCCCTTTTTTTTATCCAAAAATTCTTCCTTATATCCCTTACCTTCCAGATTCTTTCTTTTTCTTCAAGAAATCAGATAAGGCCTATTTGAAAACGAGCACATGATGAATGTGAGGCTCAGATTGAATGAAATCGATCCTACGCCTCTCATTCATCCAACACACGTCCTCCAGAACCTTCTAATCGCGTGATATAGCTTGAAAACGGGCGAGTGCGGGAGGGAATCTTCTTGGTGTCAGAAACCGTTACACTATGTGGAAAGAGGAGAGAAGGGGGGAGCGCGCGAGGTGAGTTTTAGATGAACTCGCCTGAGTTTCAGCTGAGTTGGGATCAGTTTGAGCAAGGCGGATAAAGGAACATGATTGGGGCACCGTTTGGGGTCTCTAGGTTTAGGGTTTTGTTTTGGGGGAGGTGTTATAACAAGGGTTATATATGAGGATGGGCAATGGGTCGGTCTGATGGGGCGGGTCACAGGGGATGTGAGCTAGCGGGTTTAGTGGTAGGGATTGGGCCAATTTAAGTGAAGAGGGGGTGGGGCATTAAAAGATTTGGGCTTCAGAAAATGAATTTGGCCCAATTTCGATTTTAATTAAAGTTCGCCCCCCCCTTTTTTATTTATTTTTATCTTTTTTTTTCGGATTTTAAAATGATAAATTAATTAAAATCCTAGACTAAAATCTCATTTGTAAAATCATATTAATTGTTTATTTTAAAACATAAAAATAATTAATTAACTTAAAGCTTAATGCAAAGAAATTACTAATTTTGAAACTAAAAGTTAAAAATGTAACAATAGCCAATATTTGTGATTTTCATCTTAATAAGGCTATTAACTAACTTAATTAATCCTAAAAACATGAAAACAAATCTTAATGCAATGCATGGTATTTTGACATTTTTCATGATTTTAATAAAAGTAAACATGTATAGAAATGCAAACAATTTAACAAAAATTCCTACAAAAACCCTATTAAATTGCAAACAATTGGAAAAATCTATTTCCTTAATTTGTAGGAGTATTTCACATAGGGAAAAAATCACGTGCTCACAGCTGCCTCTCTTTGCTCGGAAACACGAAGAGTTTTCGGGCAAGGATAAAGCGAGCAAACACGAGCAATTTTTACCCGTTTGAATACTCTATGGGAAGCATTTTTTTAAGATCTGACCAAACCTTGCTTCTGAGGTTTCCTACATATCCATGGCTACAAAGAAATCAAGTCAGTGTAGTTCGGGAGTAGAAGCAATGATAGAGTATACTGAGGTGGAGAGTCGGTCGAGGTGCCGTTTCGTCGAGGTTCCGGTCTGCGGTACTGTTATTACTTCAGAATAAAAAAATAAAAAAGACTAACTAAGCCTGTCAACTATGAGTTACAAGATTCCTATTTAATAGTCTTCTGAAGCTTGATCTTGACTCTTGAATTGTTCTTCATGCAGACTTTAGATTTGAACCTTGACACTTGCTAACTGCAGGTGCTAGTTCATTCTTCTTCAACTTTTTCGGATCAAAACCGGACATACCATGCTTGTGATTTTAGCCATGTCTTGAGCAGTTCACATCTTTCTCTACTTCTGCATTTGGGATTCACTTATTTCTTTCTTTTTTTCCTTTTTTTTATTATTCTGGATTGTGACTAACTTCTATTGATCATATCGGACTATCGATTCTTGCCGTGAGCTTCTGTTACTTCTAACTTGAATTGAATTCTGTAATGACTTCCCTTGTTCCCCAAGTGGGCGCCTGATTGCCAAAACATAAACTGTATTCCCTTGTTCTCCAGGTGGGCACCTGATTACCAAAACCTAAACTGTATTCCTTGTTCTCGAGGTGGGTGCCTGATTGCATAAAACTTGAATTGTATTCCCTTGTTCTCTAGGTGGGCTCCTGATTCCCAAAACTCTAACTGTATTCCCTTGTTCTCCAGGTGGGCGCCTGATTGCCAAAAACTTGAACTGTATTCCCTTGTTCTCTAGGTGGGTGCCTGATTGCCAAAACTTGAACTGTATTCCCTTCTTCTCCAGGTGGGCGCCTAATTGTCGTAACTTGAACTGTATTCCCTTGTTCTCCAGGTGGGCGTCCGATTTCCGAAACTTGAACTATATTCCCTTGTTCCCCAGGTGGGCGCCTGATTACCAAAACTTGAACTGTATTCCCTTGTTCTCCAGGTGGGCGCCGAATTACCAAAACTTGAAATACATTCTCTTGTTCTCCAGGTGGGTGCCTAATTGCCAAAACTTAGACTGTATTCCCTTGTTCTCCAGGTGGGCATTTGTTTTTAAAAAACTTGAACTGTATTCCCTTGTTCTCCAAGTGGGTGCCTGATTGCCAAAACTTGAACTGTATTCCCTTGTTCTCCAAATGGGTGCCTGATTGCCAAAACTTGAACTGTATTCCCTTGTTCTCCAAATGGGTGCCTGATTGCCAAAACTTGAACTGTATTCCCTTGTTCTCCATGTGGGCGCCTGATTGCTATAACTTGGATTGTTTTTCCTTATTCTCTAGGTGGGCGTCTGATTGTGAAAACTTGAACTGTATTCCCTTGTTCTCTAGGTGGGCGCCTGATTGCCGAAACATGAACTGTATTCCCTTGTTCTCCAGGTGGGATCCTGATTGCCAAAACTTGAAATGTATTCCCTTGTTCTCCAGGTGGGAGCCTCATTGCCGAAAACTTGAACTGTATTCCCTTGTTCTCCAAGCGGGCGCCTGATTGCCAAAAACTTGAATTGTACTCCCTTGTTCTCCTGGTGGGCGCCTCATTTCCGAAAACTTGAATTGT